TACACAAATTGAAAATGCAAAACCCAAATAGAAACTATTTGCATACTTGCGGTAGATACATATATATATATTCACACATATGTATTTTACATACATATTCCCATATGTCGGTGTACCTCGTATGAATAAAATGCTGGTAGGTACTCGTGTTTTATGAGATCATCTCGGTTTATTTGTTAACACGCATGGAAAAAGTGTGAGTGTTCGTAAATAAGTGAAAGAAAAGAAATGCTCATATGCCTATCTACATATATGTTTAAGTATAATATATAAAATTTATTAAGATTATAGTAAAATTAGATTCGTTGCGAAAAAAAAATTCATAAAAAATCGGCTTATAAATTTTGAAATGCGTCAAGAGCGTATGATTATTTTTATAACAAATGCATTAGTACATTGTTTGTACAATTTATTTATTTTTATGTATTTATGTAAATATGGCAATTCCATCATCATAGGTGTTTCATTTGCTTTTATGACAATATGTAGTCAAAAGCATTTTATGGCATTAGTAGCCAGACAAATTGCGCCTCATCTACCTCTTACATAAAAATAAAGCCGTATGGACAGATTTTGAGGTAAAAGCTGCTTCCTATTTGTTGCTGTTCTTGATAAGCACATGGCTACAAAATAATAATTAAGCACAACTTTTTTCACATATTGACGTCAATACAATGGCAGTTCACAGATGAACCCTTATACACACATATTTATGTCTTTATTAGAAAAATTTCTAATAATACTTTATTTATTTATATTTTATCATTTTATTTTGTTGCATTTTATTTTAATATTTTTATTTTGTAATGTATTTCATTTTTCCCTTATTTTATTAAGTTTTATTATATTCATTTTTCGTTTCATTTTTTATTTTATTTCCTCTTATTTCAATTAAATTCATTTCATTTTTTATTTTATTTTATTGACTTTTTATTTATTTTGTTAAATAATATATTATTTTATTTAATTGTTTTCATTTTGTTTTATTTTACTTTATTTCATTTCATATCATTTCTTTCATTTAATTTCATTATTTCATTTCATTTTATTTTATTTTATTTTACTTAATTTTTGTTTTTTTTAATTATTTATTTTTTTTTTTTTTGTTTATTTTATTTTATTTTATTTTATTTTATTTTATTTTATTTTATTTTATTTTATTTTATTTTATTTTATTTTATTTTATTTTATTTTATTTTATTTTATATTTTATTTTATTTTATATAGCATTATTTGATTTTATTTATTTTCTTATTTTATTTTATTTTAAATATTTCATTTTTTTTGTTTCCGATTTCTTAATTTTAAGTTACATTTCAATTTTTTTATTTAGCCCTTAAACCACGCAACACGTGCAGAAAATATTGAAAAAATAATATTGAATATTTTTAATATGTATTTCAAACAAGTAATAATTAGTTTTTAATATTCATTACTACTTACCAGCAAAAAGTCATGACTTTCCAATAACACTGGAGAAAAAAGCTCAACAATTGATGACTCGTCAGCGGTCAATAGCATACAAACGCGCATTTAAACTTGTTCTATAGTACAAAAGAGGTTGTACAAACACGGGCATACATGTACGTACATATATATGTATGTATTATATATCAACACACATTTGTTTCCTTTAAATTTTACAAAAGCAGGTAATGATAATGTAAATAATATTTTTGTTGTTGTATTTAACTGACTGCATTCATAAGAAAAGGTGCTTTTTTCACAATCTTTTCTCCCTCTCTCTCTCTCTCTCTCTCTCCTAAAGATGCACTGTTTTGACCAAAGTCAAAGAAATAGACGTACACACATACATACATGCACATTTATTGTACATGTGAACGCACGAACTCACAAATGTTTGATGATTAACTTATATTTATATAGTATTTCACATCATTTTGTTTTCAACTTTTATTCTTACGATATTTTTAAATTTTTTAATAAGTAAAATATATACTTTTTTCTACTTTGTTTTGCTTTGTTTTCATTACTTATTTAAATTTTACGATTATTATTAACTTGCTTTGCTCGTTTCACGTTTTGTTCTTCATTTTTATTATTATTTCAGCACGAGGAAAAATGAGACAGTTCGCAAGATACAATAATAATACATGCGAATATGTGGTTATACATATGTATGTACATATGTAAGCACATATTTGCAGGTTAACAACGGAAATGGCCAAGCATCAAAATGAATTAACTTAAAGTGCTGCCACTTACTACACGCACAATTGTTAATACATATGTATATATACAATATACATATATATATGTGTTTGAAGCCGATGAATCATGCGCAAAAAATATATGTTAAACGAAAAGTGGTGAGAATAAGAAGAAGAAAAATTTCAAAAAAAGCCATCAAGCCGGACTCAAGTTTGGTTCCTATATACATACATACATATATATGTATGTACATATGAATATTTGAATTTATGCATGTACATATTTATGTACTTATTATATAAACGATATCTACTGTCATTTATCCATACATATATGTAAGCTTTTGCTTACAGCAAGCAAAGACAAATCGCTTATCATAGATTTCGATGCTCAAAGAAAAGCTCAAATTGCCTATCCGCTTATGTTGAATGAATATTTGACAGCACAAATTTTATTTTTCTTTTTTCTTCCGGTGCAATTGGCTTCCGAATGACACGCTGTCAACCATACCAATCATCAATTATTTTACCGGTCTTACGGCGCTTATCGGTGACGCATGCACAACAAATATGATATTTACACAAATGCACATATGCACATACATATATATGAGTATTGTTTGTATTTTTATTATATTTACTATTAATTGACTATATCTTCATAAACGAATATCAATAAAAACAAAACTTAGAAGAAGTAAAAACCTCACAATGAGTAAAGTACGCATACTCAGAAAGTTATTAGATACTTCAATGTGATGTAATGTGATTAGAAAACAGTTGAAGGTAGAATAAAGAACAAGCATAATTACTAACACATAAAAACAAATGGAATTAATTGTGAGCAGCCAAAGCGCTTGAATAAAACGTCTCATAATAAAATACGTATAAACAGCTATACGAGTACATGTACATATGTACATACTTTTACATATTTAAGTCTTTAGATGATAGCATGCGGTGTCTCCAATAGTAAAACCACTTGTGGATACAATTCTTCTATATTTAATATAGAGAACTCTAATATTTCCATTTCATATGACAATACATACATATGTATCTACAAACATTTGCGTATATTTCTTTAAGTGTTCAATTAAATACCCAAACAAGCACACATACTCGTACATATCCACTTGCGTACTTAAAAAACAAGGTTAAAGATACTATGTTTATTATGCATGTAGCACGAGTATAGGGTTTTAACAGCTGTCAAACTTAACTGTCAAACCAAAAATGTTTTGCTTTAGTTAAAAGTCAGGCTTTTGAGAAAATCGAACGCTTAACAACCGCACAACACTTTTAAGGGAGAAACCTGGTTTAGAGGGTGAAAAAATCGATTTTTTCAAACTTATCTCATTCGATTAAAAATATATTCAGAAATATTTCCACAAAATTTCAGAGTCAAATTCCTAATCCTTCCGCAGAAATGGCCGCTGAGAGACAATGCGCTCAGGAGACTGATAAGCGGGCGCGTGAACTTTAAATTAAAATTTCTTCAGAAAAACGCAAAATTTTTTATTAACGGTCATAAAATAAATAATTTTATACATTCCTTCGAATATCTTGGGTTCACACAGAAGAGCAACTCTTAAGCTACAAAAAAAAGGTATTCGTTTTTATGTTTCAGATGAAAACTACGATCGCTATCGTGTTCACAAAATAGACTCTTCGAGCGAGAAGTGCCACAAACAAATACGAATTGTTATTTGCTTAACAGTATCAAATAAATTGAAAGTATTTTTTTTTTTTGCAAGATTTGTGTATCTATAACCTATTTCAAAAGTACTTGAAACATTTCATACGTAAAGCAACCTAAAACACTGTGCCAAATATCATGCGATTTTCAGCGTTCTAAGCCAGGTTCTCCACTTAAATCGTTTACGAAAATGGAGATTAAAACGTGGCCACGTTTCCTGCTCTGGGAGCAGATTATGGTACACATAATCAGCCAACTACTCAAGCAATCGATTAAATTTTGAAAAAATTTCACAAAAACACGGATCGGTTACTGATATTATAAAGCCTTTGTATCATAGTTTAGCTGGTTCCACCTCAAATAACGCTACTATTTATAAGAGTAAGTGCGTAGTTTGCTCTCGAATCATAAAAATCCAGCTCATACAACAACTGAAGTCAATTGATTATTCACAACGCCCATTGGCCGGTGAGGTCCCCATTTTTTGAGGCTTTGCGAAAGACCATGTTTTGGGCTGTTAAAACATTTGACTGTTAAAAATTTGAAAACCAACGTTTGTCAAGTTATGGTTGAAATACCGCTCAATATGTGTGTTACCTCAAACGGATGAAAATTTCAAAAAAAAAATCGCCAGGCTCAAATTTTATAATAAAAAAAGCATTTTATTTACGTTTATTTTCGTTTTAGCAGTTGCAAAGCGCCAATTATATATGTGTATAAATATTTATATACAAGATATGCATGTAAATGCATATTTAATACAATATTACAATTTAAAAATGTAGAACACTTTTTATTTAAAATTCATAGTATTACACAAAGCGGAAAATGAAAAGAAAGCAAAACAAATCGGTTCTCAACTTTTTGCGCCAAAAATGCTACACACGCAATTCTTCGTTTGCAATTTTCGCAAATTTTTCAAGTGCAATCAGCAATTGCTTTATATAATAATGTATACTACTTAACACAATATATATATATACTACACACATATGCATACAGTATTTATTTCCGTTATTTTTCACATATCATCAGTCAAAATGATTTCAATTCATTTTACAATTTAAATGCAACACAATTTTTTTTCAGTATTTTTTTCTTCTCTTTCAAATTCTATACTCTCTCTCTACCGTACTGCTGACGTTATAACGCTTATTAACTTTTTGCCGGTTTTTTTCTTGTGCGCGAATCCGTTTCCGTAACAAACACTTTGAATTCCGTTTAACAACTGTTCATCGCTTTAATATCAAACTCTTTCGCAACCAAAATGCCCCCACAACAATTACCAATACAGCGAAAATTTTGTTTGTGTGTTTATTTAAACCATAAATTCTCCCACCGATTCTCTCACACGGACGGGGCAAGCATTCTTTATACACTGAGAAATATTTGGAAATTGCTAACGAAATGTAATCACATACGCGTAAGAATGGAATTCATTAATAATCAATTATTATTTAGTTATCTGAGTTTTATTTCGTTTTAGATATATTTTATATTTTATTGCTAATGAATAATATTAAAAGAGTTTCTTATTTACGCATAAAAAATAATATTTTCTTCTTTACTATTACAATTACTGCATACTTTTTACAATTTTAATAATAAATAATTATTACATATATAATTTTTCATAATATTATTTAATGATATTCACACTTTTTTTCAGTGTATGTTTTTCGCTCTCTAATACAAACACAAAATAAGGCCATAACTGATTTAAACGTGTACTTTTTTGCTACTTCACATCTGTGTCTCGGCTACAAGCATATGAGTTGTTTCCGCTGGTTTGTGTATTTGCTGAGCGAAGGCAACGCTTTTGTTACTTTTTCCAAGCGGATGCAGAAGTAGCCGCAAGAAATATTAAAATTTAAAAAATGTCCCATGTACTCATCCAGCAGTAATCCTATGGTTGTACATATGTGTACGAGGTGTGTTCAAAAAATAATAAGAATTTTTTATTGTTGACTTCGCCTGTAGCAGCCGAACTTCTTCTCCTTTACTGACGTTCACACCGCTTTCGGGATAATTGTCGAGTTATCAACGGTGGAGCCAATTGGAAATGCCAAGTGTGGCCAGTTCCTTCACCGTCTGGTATTTTCAATGGAATGGAGGTCTTCCTTTACCTCTGTTTCCAACGGGTACTGCATCAAAAATGTTCCATTCGTACTACATAGCTAGCGGTGACGCTGCGTTCTTACGTTTGATAGGACCTTATGTGAGAGGAGGCTTATCCCACGGTGCTGTGGATTGGCAAATCACATTTGCGGCGCAATCGTCGGGCTTGGTTTCATCCGACCATATTCTGCAAAGAAGCATCGATTTGGGGAATCGAGCTCGCCATCTACTGGTGCTCGAATTTATTGTCCCCACCAATTGCCGTGGGGTAAGCCATACGATATGGGTATATGCGTATACTTGTATATTCTATAATTGACTCGATGTTTAAGGACCCGTGGAAAGGTAGATCGACACACCCCACCGATTGGAAGCAACCTTCGGCAGAACGAAAAGAAACTGACCATAGAGGTGCTATGTTTGAATTTGGTATTAACCGCAAGATTTATATTGATAATTAAACTGACGTTAAGCAACACCATAAACGAGTTAAGAAGCATAATGCTTTGCTGTGCAAGCAGTTCCTATTGGGATGTTACCGCACGAAGCACCCTAATGGGCACCTAATAGAAGCTGAAACTTCACTTAGGCGCATCAGAAAGATAGTACTCGACTTAAAAAACACCATCCAGCAATATCTATAACAACCGCTGGATAGGACGGCGTACAGAGAGGCACTCAACGCCATTCACCAGAAGTCAGTCAGCACCTTCAAAGACTACCTTCCAGTAAATGGCGTGCTCGGAGTAAAATCACCACCTATTGCAGACAACGAGCTCGAGCTGCCTCGAGAGACTCGATTGACTTTGGCACAACTTAGGTCTGGATATTGTAGTAGGTTAAACTCTTACTTATCCAGACTCGACCCCAGCATACCCAACGTATGCCCTGCATGACGAGAGTCCCTGCACGACACTAACCACGTCTTCACGTGACCCCTTAACTCGATTCATCTAACCCCCCTCTTCCTTTGGCAAAATCCCGTCGAGACAGCTCCTTTCGTAAACCCCCCACTACATGATCTCGGCGACTTAGATTGATCAAACCTGTTGTTGTTGTTGTTGTTGTTGTAGCGGTTCGCTACCCCGCTTAGGCACAGGCTTGATTAGTATAAGTCGTCGAGGTCATCAAAGGTAGGCCCAGGAAACGAAAACCTAAGCGGGGCGTTTGGGTCTGCCAATGAAAGAGACTAAACCAAAATATCTTTAAACAAACAATTATCGCATTCGCAACTTGGATTCCATTCACTGTTGACAGTCATAACATCGAGCGCTTAGATAATTTCGTCTATCTAGGAACCATCATTCACATCAATAATAATGTCAGCCTTCAATTCCAACGCGTAATCACTCTTGCCAACAGGTGCTGCCTTGGACTTAGTAGGTAATTGAAAAATTAAGTCATCTTTCAGCTTACAAAGACCAAGTTCTTCATATCAAGTCCTGTTTTATGGTGCGGGGGTTCGGGTGTTGACAACAGCTGATGAGTCCGTGTTTGGGGTTTTTGAAAAAAAGTTTTGCGTAAGATTTATGGTTCTCTGCGCGTTGGCAGCGCCGAATATAGCAGTCGATTGACAGTGGCTAGGTCAAGTGCCCGATGGCAGTAGAGAAAAATGAAGACCTACACTCCGCTGGAAATACCGGGTGTCCCTTGTTATTCCGATGTCGCGCTGTTGGTAACTCGGCTAAATTAGCATAACCGACATCTACGTAAGTAAAGAAGAAGAATAAAAGCCCTATCAAAAGGGCTAACACAAATCCAGAAAGAGACCTAGCTTACATTCAGCAGACCTCCCGTTTGTGACCGATCTGTGGACCAAATATGCATATCAGTTGGGTATCTGATGTTCAGCTTCAATAGAGCTTAGTCTTCCTTACTTACATTTCATATATTCACAGATACGTGTGTGAGTATTAAATATTCAAAATAAATGAGAAAGAGGGCATTTGCGATCAGCACTTTATTCGCATTAAAAATTTCAAAGTCCAACCTATTAAATATAATTAGATACCCATTAATGGCAAAACTGAGTAATTAAACACTTGCACTAAGCAGATCAGATATAACCGATCCTCTCGGTCGATATCAAAGAACGGAGCTCTTTTAATTAGGCTTTCACCTGGCAAGATAACAGGTCTGTTTTTAAAGCTACAAATAGTCTTAATTTATATAATCAAAATAATTTTTTGATTTGCCACCTGTTGTAGCACTTATTAAAAAAAGAGCCTATCTCAATTCATACCAAAGCCCAATCGGCCACATTTTGTTAACGCATATGCAACTCGTTTAACGGTGAACTGTAATTTAATATGGGCTTGCGTGTCGCCAATTTAGAATGGAGAAATATTATCAGCGAATATCGATCAGCTTGAATGTCGTGTTGGTATAGTTTTTATTTTATTTTTCCAAATTGTTTTTTTTTTTACATATTTAAATAAAATAAAAAAAAGTAATAGAAAAAGCGTCGAGAGGTGTCAGAGAGTGGGTGGCAATTGGCTTTATGCGCTCTTCTTCGCAATCATTATCAGTGTGCACAATTAAGCCGAACGATCAGTGATTGAAATATTTAAGTGCCGAATAATTTTGAAATAATTACTTTAACCACTTGGTTGATGGTTAGTGCCATCAGCTTAATGCTTTTAACTGCCGTATAAATATTGCTGCGCAGTCAGCATTTTTAGCTTACTACGGTTTTTAAACTTTCCATCATTTATTTAGCGGTAAAAGTGCGCTAGTTTAAGGATCACTAAAATGGCTGCTACCAACCCGCTGCTGGTTTTGATTTTCGCCATTGCTGTTGAAGTTGCTTTGGCTTGTGTAAGTCGGGAAATAAATTGAAAAGCAAAAAAAAAAAAAACAAAAAAAATTCTTTCGAGACTAACTTTTCTTTCCTTACTAACGTCCCCTCCCCAGAATGGTTACAAGGCAAGAATTGTTAAAATCGAAAACTGTGCCGGCCCAGATGCCGTTATTACGCTGGACGACAACTTTTCGGTGAAACTCAATAAGAAATGTGAAATAGTCCCCACGGGCTGTGTCGCGAATAAAGCTTTCAGTACAGCTAATTCCAAATATAAGCTACAAAAGGATGGCATTGTCCTGAAGGAGGGGAAATTTGATTTGTGCGCTGCAGCTGAACACGTTTCGAATGAGGCAAAAGATATGCTGAAACTCTTTGGCGCACCAGCCAGTTGCCCAGTGGCAGAGGTACATACATAAATAGCTGTATATTATATATTAGACAACATCATAGTATTTACATATTGATTTTATTGTTTCTTTTTTATTTATTTCATGAATTCTAGGAGAAAATCTGTGCTAACGATCATCGCGTGGACTTGTCCAAATATAAAGCAATGTTGAGCATGGCCAAGGGCAATATTATCCTAGATTCGGATATTACTCACGATACGGTAAGAACTTGACATTTTGACGTAGATTACTTAGTAGTTTTGTTGGGTTCTTAATGCTTCTTTTTTCTCCAGGGTAAATCATGCTTCCACGTTGAGCTCGAGATCTCAAAGAGTTAAAGCAGCTATTGCATCAAAGTAAAAAATAAATAAATAAAATCATCGCGCTTATGTGATGTGTATTTAAGCAAATAAATATTTTAATAAATATTGTGATTATATTCATTTTGTCCTTTTATACAATTAAATATTAGAATACGAGTATAACAGTTTGCTTTGAAGTTAGTAGAACTATTCGTTAGGTTTATGGACCCGAATAAGTTATTCTAAGTTCTCTGCTTCTCGTTATTCCTAGTTCTCTGCTTCTCGTTATTCCAAGTTCTCTGGTTTGCTGTCCAATGACCGATATTGTAATGTAGCGAGTAAGTAAAGTTTTGTTGCGATCTTGAAAGTTGGTCACCTGATCAGCGATCAATGATGCGTTGTACCGTTGTGACTTAAGCTTTGCTGTGATCTTCAAATTTAGTCCCCTGATCAATCAACCATATTGTAATGTACTCATGTGACCTTAAGTGTTGCTGTGATCTTCAAATTTAGTCACCAGATCAATGAGCCATATTGTGGTGTACTCATGTGACCTAAAATATTCTTACGATCTTGAAATTTAGTCAACTGAACAGCGATTGATGGTGTGTTGTACCGATGTGATTTTAAAATTTAATCACCTGATGAAATGTACCAAATTAATGATGTGATCTAGAAATTTAGTTAGCTGCCCATTGACATGAACAGTGATCTAGTGTTTGTCACAATTTTATGTGAAGTACTGATGTGACCTTACGTATTTTAGCGACTTTGAAATTGAATCACCTGATCTGTGATCGATGATGTGATCTACTGATGTGACTTAAACTATTAAACTGTTGTCATCTTCAAATTTATTCAGCTATATGATCTTGTAAATTAATATATGCATACATGGATACAATAAGACCTCGCCCGACTTATCACCTCTTTGCATGCCTTCTTAAGTCTACTCAGCTAGCCCCCATTTCCCTCTTTTCCGTACCTAGCGGAACGTCTCATTTCCTGAAATTCACGTTGCACGACCACGAAGTCTCTCCAACCCCGCTACAACAATAACAACATAATTCTAAATGAGTGAGTATGAAGAATTTGAGAATCCGGCGGGAAAAATGTAATTGTAAATATGGCGAATATTAGAAAGTTTCACGACTGGAGCTTACTCATCTGAGAACTAAGATGATTTCGTGATCGATCTACTCTGTGGGCACTGACTTAAGGAGGAAACACTTCTTCAGTCTGCTGTGAAATTGAAATAATCAGAGATGATCCAAAAGGTAATGGTGTCGAAAAACTGACTCAGCTTCTGTGCAAAGACGGATGAGTGCACGCGTGGTGTTTAAAACCATTGATTTTGATAGACAAAAGCCCACCATCAATAAAGTGATTGGACCACAACAGTGCAGAATATTGACGCTAATAACTTTTCAGTCGTAGATAATTTCGTCTATTTCGGTACCAGTATGAATACTAACAACAATGCCAGCTCTAAAATCTTTCCCCGTCGGAAGTGTTGACATTTGTGGCCGCTGATAAAATAAATTAAAAATATATTTTACGATATATCTTGTGATGTGATCTTGTACTGGGCAAGCTCTGAGTTTGCTCCTGAGCAGGATTTGAAGTTTTGAGCACTTTTGCTTTCCTTTATTGTTAACAAAGTAAACTCTCCGTACATTTCAATATTATTGAAATGTCGAAACTGTTCGAATTTATTGTACAAAATATATATTGCAACCCTGTTCTGTTGTTCTCCGGCTGTCAGAAGTGTAGAAAACATGGCGCTACAATCTTGTTAGTTTTGTGAATTAAGCACAACAATTTCTTCATTATAACACGTTTATGGAAGCAATTTGTTAACAAAATAATGTGAAAGACTCTCACAAATATACCGAAAACATAAATAAGCTTAAATAAAGTTTGTGTATGCAACGCAAATAACTAAAAATTAAGCGTGAAAAGCGCGTCGTTGCGAAAGATAGAAATAAGAAAAATATACACAGTAGTTGAAAACGAAGAGGGTGGTGAGCTTCAGCTGTAAAAAAAGGAAAACGAAAAGGGTTATCGGGTCGGATCCGCTCCTAGCGCATTGCAAACTCGTTGCTCTAACATTCGCAAAAATACATATATCAACGAGAATAATGTCAACAATTTAAACGCGAAAAGAAAAGTAAAGTGGCGCTGTGAAATAATCGAAGGAAAACGCGGGTAAATTGTAAATGGATTTTCTTTTACTAATGTGCGGGCGTGAGAGAAGTGGTGTGTTATCTTGTTGAATTGTATTAACGAAAGAATAACTAATGTGCTAATTCAGAATGAGTACGGACACTTTTGATGAAGACTTTTTCGAGACACGCCTGGAGGCGCTCAAGGATACACAGGAAGGCATACAGCAGATGTCCGCATGGTGTTTGCAGCATCGTGTGCATCATAAAAAGATTGTATCCTGTTGGTTGAATGTATTTAAGAAAGGTTCGTTTATTTTATTTTAATGTATATGCTAATTAAAACAAAACACTTAGTGTGGTTGTGTATATATGCAAGCACATTCGTACGCCTGTCAATAATAAATAAGAATGTAACAAAAAGTGAATGTTGTAGTAGGCGTAAAAATAATGGCAAAAAGTAGTGTTTTGAGAAATGTTGCGGTAGTGAAAGTCCTGTGTCAGTTAATAATCCTCGTCATTTCGGTATAAAGATTCAACTATCACGGAAACTTTTGGGTTTCGGACGCTTTTTACGACAGGCGTACCTTACCGCCGGATAATTCAGCAAATAAAAACGTTAATACAAATTTCTCCAAAAATTTTTACTTAAAGTTTTATATAAATTTGAATATTTTTATTTCAAGTTCGCGTTGAACACAGACTTACACTGTTCTATCTTGCAAACGATGTTATTCAAAATAGCAAGCGGAAACGCTATGAATTTGTCGAAAGTTGGGCGACTGCCTTACAGCGAGCTACAACAATGGTTAGGTATGTATGACCTCTCTCTCTCTTTCTCCTTATATCTAGTAACCAAAGTTCTAAAAGTAATACCAAAATATATTTATATTTTAAGAGATGAAAAGGTCAAAGGTAAAATACTACGTATATTCAGCATTTGGGAGCAGCGTGAAATCTACAATGAAGAATATCTAAGTGATTTAAGTGGTTTATTAAACATTAATCCTCCTAAAAAAACACAATCTGTAGTGGCAGATCCCTCAGATGATTATACGGTAAAAAAAAACAACTAAGATTTAAGTAAAAAAAAAACTTTAATCTATTACACATTATTTCTTATTACAACAGAATGGGCCACTCATTGCGAACATAAGGGAATGTGTTGAACTCTCTTTGGCGACAGATAATAGTTTTAAAAAATTGCCTAAAGCACCTAATTGTGATATCGAAGTCATCAAACAACAGATAAAGGATAAAAGCCATTCGGATGATATTGAGAGAGAGATTGAACGATATACAACTTACGCCGAAGCATATAGTAAGCATTTGCACGCTGAAATTCGTAGCCGAAAAGAGGTGCTGCGAAATCTTGACACAGCCATTAAATTCTATGCTAATCAGCGAGGCGAAGTAAAAGTGGTCGTTAGTGTAAGTGATCTTGTGGTCTAAACTTTTATTTATTTTATTGTATTGCATTGTTTTACTGTACAAATTTTTGTTTATAGGCTTATAAAAATTTTGGAAGTCGCATAAAGCTTGTCAAGAAGAAGTTGGACGAAATCACACCAAACTTGCCTAGCCCGATACCATCGCCCGATATAAATGCACCGTCACCCGAACCAGATGCCGATCTGCAACTGCCAGATGACCAATCACCGATCTCAATTGTAATCTATCAAATTAATTTTTTTATTTTCTTTTATATAATTTTTTTTACTTCTTTATATCTTTTTAACTTCGTAGAATTTATTTAAAAATTCAATTAACGGTTACTCAAGCTATTTGGATGGCAAATTACCCTTCGATATAAATGATTTTAAGCGTGACGATAGCTCCTCCAATAAATCAAGTAATATACAATGATCTTTGTAATAACAACTAGTACTAATGAATCTATGCTCCACAGGCCAACCAATCGAAGTAATAGGCTCCCGGTCAGACGATGAGAGTTACAGCTCCGGTACAGAGTACTATAAACCAGACCCAATAACCGCTTATTCGAACAGCACCAGTATATCCATACCAGGTCTGAATCCGTTACCTGTGCCGCCGGTTGAATCTGGTTACACCTCTCTCGCCCGCTCGGCCCAACAATATGGCATACTACCGCCACCGCCAGCAACAACAGCACTGTTTGGTGGGAATAATGGCATACATCATGATTACACCGCCAGTTATACGCCGGACAGTGGCTACCACGGTGGTAGCAGTGGCGCCACAGTTGGTGGTAACGGTTCTATTGGCGGACAACCGTTAATGCCACCACCACCACCAATGCCCAATTTGAATGCAGCAGAAAATGTGAGCAGTGGAAATGGCGCTAATAATGGAAATGAAGATTTCAATTCCACATGGAATATGAATATGTCATGGACTTCATTGGACAATTCAAATTTATCAAACTCCTCTTACACGCGTGATAGCATAGATACGCCTGTTTCGCCGCCACACTTTGAACGTGAGCCGAACAGTAGCGCTGCAGCGGCTATTGAATACAGCGAACATCATACGAGCAATGTTTTGGTATCGCAGCAAGATGTTGACCATCGACAGCTGCATTTGCCGGCGTTTGATGTGCCCGCAGCGGATTTGGGTATTAAGTTAGGACTGAGTAAAGGTTGGTGGAGTTGCTATTTTGTGCAAAAATTTTTTCTTTCGTTTTTGTAATTCTTGCTTAACGTTATTACCACAGCTTAAGAGAACTTGTTTTTTTTTCTTGTACGGCAATCAATGATAGTAGAGTGGTGATAATAAGTTTTTAATTCTGGCTCCTTCTGTACTTTATAGAGAAAACACGTCAGTTGGATATCGATCATAGAAATTTAATTTCATTAACTGGTTCGCCGCATGGCAATGACAGCGATAAAAAATCTTGGCTAGCGGAGGATCAAGTAATGAGTATTATTTTTTTTTTTTAAATAACGATATTTATCTATAATTATTGCACTTACAGGGTTTCCTCGGAAGTAACTCCGGCGATGTCGATTATCGTTCTTTACAAGCATCGGGTGTGGAGTCCACCAGTATATCATCGCCGCAAGGGGTAATTTTGGGCGCTTAATTTTTTTATGAAAATAGTGTTGCACATAATTTCTTAATTTGCTTTAATATATTTTGTTTTAAATATTTTATTTTATCTAAAAAATATAAGTTTAAGTTACACTTGATTTGTATTATTTTCAACTTAATTTTTTATAATGGAAAACTCAATAGCACTCGTTTTTCAAACATTATTAAAAATTTGTCTGCTATATTTCCAGTTAATGGCGCCTCCGCCGCCTGGTTTACAGAAAAAGACGAACTCTCCGCAAAAGAGCAATGCCAGTAAGTTTATTAAGCGCTTAACTACGTAATCGTTATAGAAAAAATTAATAAAAAAATCTTTTTTTCTCCTTTAGGCTCATCGTCGGATAAGGACGATGCCGGTAGTGCACGCTATGATCCCTCCGACATGGTTATCGATATGGATATGTCCGATGAAGACCTTGATGATATTTTACGAGGTTTGCCATTTGATTTTCGTATTGTTCTAAAACCTCTTTTCCATACTAAATATTTAGATTTCTTATTACAAATCTATTTAATTGTAATATTACCTATCATTTCTCAACAGAGGTCAATGAGCAACAAAGTGAAGTCGATAGTTCACAACAATCAATTGGTAGTGGTGATGGCTTACAAATTGATACTACTGCCAACGAAACGCTCGAGGAAGAATCGACAGGCAACGCAAGACCGGCGCTGTTGGAAACACCGCCGGAATATGTGCCACAACCTGTCTGGGACAACAGTCAGTTAGGTCAAGTACCCTTGCCTCCCAGCTATGAACCGCAGAATATTGGCGTGAACATGGAAATGCAGCATCATCAGCCACAGCATCAACAAGAAATGTGGCATCATCAAAATAACTGGCAAAATGATAGTAATGGACATGGTGGTTGTGTGCCGCCACCGCCGCGTCCACCCTTTCCATTGCCCTTCGGTAATTTTGCTATGAATGCAAATATGCGCGGCGGTCGCGGTGGTGGTCCGGGCTGGGAAAATTCGCCACAACAAAATCATTTTCGCAATGACAGATTTCCACGTCCACCACGTGGCGGCGGACACATGGGTAGCCCGTATTACAATCGTGGTGGTGGCGGCAGAGGCGGCAACGGTGGTGGCATGCGTGGCGGTTTTCGTGGCAAATTCCGCGGCAGTCCAGCATGGCACTGATTTCGATGGGACACGTTCAAATAAAAAGATAATAAAAATGTAAATCAAGCTATAAATGCTTATATTTTTTTTGTACATAACTATGAAATACTATATATGAAATTTAAAAACCAATTAAATAGTTATAAATATGTCTAGTAGTGTGTAATGAATCATTTTAATAATGACATATACATACATACCGAAATTAATATAATTATGAAAGAGTTGATTTGATGCTTATTTGAAGTAAGCCATCAGCTTGCTATATTTTTGAAAACTCTAAAAATAATAATAATGATAAAAGTATAGCAAGCCCTTGTCCAATCAGTCTTAAAATTCATAACTTCCAAACTCTATTAATTATATTTTGCACAACATCATTAGTAAGTAACTTATGTATGTACTTTCAAATGCTAGACATATTCTCGCTGTATTACTTTAATTCTACAATATATTGTTCTAAGTTACGATATTCGATATTAGAGTCAATATTCTTTGCCAGCGTTTAATTTGAAGAAGTAAAGAAACTTAATTTTTGTTTTCGGAAATTTATTAAAAGCCTCATGTGGCTTTTGTTTGTTGTATAATAACACTTAAATTTATTGACTGAGTCAGATACCCACTTTACTGGTAACGAAATAATAAAGATTAAATAATTATAGCTTTTAGTTCCTCTAAGCGTATACATTTGTTGCCTTTAAGCATGGTCAATATCTCAATTAATACATTTACAAATAGAACGTAAAATATTAACGTACATATATTTGAAATTTAATTAAAAAATTATAGGTTATAGCTATATTTGTTAGCAGTACAATTTACCAAAAAAAAAAAAAACAAAAAAAAAAACAGAAAAAAAAGAAAGTAGACATTTCAATCATAGAATATATTGCACTCAACAGGAACGTTATGTTTCAACCCTATCAACTGAATACATACATACATATGTATATGTACATACAGTTTATTCTTTTTTTTTTCGTAACCAAAAAAGTTTTTTTTCTTTTAAAAAATATTTAACAACATTACCAATCCTCTCGTCTACTCCCTCCCTCTTTTTCAACAATCCACACAAACGTACATAGAGTTAACAATTTATGAATGTTTATCAAATAAAATTTAATAATAAAGTGTTTGCATTACTTTGAGGCGTTGCATTTATTGAGGTTAGAATTAATGAAAAGAAAAAAATCTGAAAACTAGATGACAGTCTTCCGATACTCATCCAATATCATTAGAAATGAAGAACTATGATGATTTTTTTTTTTTGGGATTTACTCGAATTGGATTTCAAATATGCTGATGTCAAGTGGAATCATATTTATTAAACGTTACAACCAAAGTGGCAGTGGTAAGAGCTTCAAGACATTTGGGTGGTTTTCGTTTGAAGACCGCAAAGCTGGGCTGCTAGTAAAGGCTGAAACTATTTTTTTCTAACCTAAAAAGAGGCGTAGGTAGATTTTTGGGCATTGGAGCGAAAAAAATGTTAGTTTTCATTAAAAAAAAAAAAATTGGTTTAATTAAAAAAAATTTTGGTTTAATTTAAAAAAAAATAGATTTAATTGAAATATAATAATTGTTTATTAAAAAAAACAAACAACAATAATATAGTTGACAAAATCGATTTTTTTAATTTGATTTTTTTATACAATAAAAATGAAATTGAATTGACTCCTAAAGATATAATCAAGCAGAATCGGAAAAAAAATTACAATAAATATAGATTTTTTTTATAAAATACAATTGGCTTTTAATAATAAAGAGACTGGCTGTGAAAGACTACGATTTTCTATAATCAAAAAACTTAGTTTTAATTTGTTGCAATAATATTTTGTTTCTATGGCGCAATATTTTCAACTATTTTTTGCATTTTAAAACTTAAAAAACGTTTACAATTCATGCTTGATTTGTTAAAAAAAAATTAGGTTATAATTTATAATAAGATGCAGCCTTTCAGTCAGTAAGTTAAATGAAGTTTTTACTCGAATGAGGTAAACTTTTTCTTTATTTTCTAATGAAAACTTTATGAAAGTAAAAAAAATTTACATTTCTGTGAAATGCCCAAAAAATTTCATAAATAAATATATAATCTTTATTTATAACAACATCGGTTGAAACTTGTATATATTTTTTTTATATACATAAAATAAAAAAGATATTTATATAAATTATATAAAAGATTTTATTTTTTTTTTGTTAAATAAATAATTCAATTTTTTTTTACGTTCTGTATTGTAATTGTAGTAGAAAGTGAGGAAAGTGAGGAAAGTGTAGAGTTCAGCAAAATCACATAATTTTTTTTTTTGCTTTTTTGTAAATTTAAGTTTTGATGTTTTTGCCAGTTAATATATATATATTTTTTATATTACTTTAATTAATTGTATTGTCGTTTCGAACAAAGGCATATTAAAAATTATAAATATATTTATTTTAGTTTATAGCAATTTAGGTAAAAGAATTTTTTATTTTATTATTTTATTTTTCATGTATATATGTATATCGAACTGAAGCTGGCAAAGAATTTTGAATTTAAATTTTGTTCTTGTTTTCAATATGAATATCCGAATATCTGCAAACTAAAAATATTACTAATAATAATAATATATATAAATATATATAAATATATATATATATATATATATTTTTTTTTTTTTTTTTTTTTTTTGAGAACAGCCCTATATAAATGAAAATATTAAATTTGATTAAAAAATTTTTTACCAAAAATGCTATAAACTAAAATAAAAATATATTTATAATTTTTTGTATGCCTATGTTCGAAACGACATTACATTTAAATTTTATTTAATTAATTTAATTGCGATATTATTTTACCTAATGTAAATTGTATTTGTTTCTTTTTTTTTTATAAATTCTGTTTTTGTATACTAATGGCTTTGTCGATTTTTCTTCTACTTTAAATTCAAAATCGATATGAATGCAAACATAATTTTTAGTTTGTTACCGTCATCGGTGTTGTTTTTGTGTCATTAGTTCACCCTAAAGACGGTTACCGACGTGTAGCCGCAATATGTATTGCTGAAAACAAAATTAAAATTGTGTGTTTCATTTACCTATGTATGTATATCGAACATAAGTTGGCAAAAAATTTTGAATTTAAATTTTGTTCTTGTTTTAAATATGAATATTCGAATACCTGCAAGCTTAAAATATTACTAATAATTAATAAAAAAAACATGTGAGTGTTTTTACTGGGATTTTCCAACAAATTATACTACGAAAGAAAAATATGAACTCGATTTATAATTAAACATTTAATTGAACAATTTTAAGAGAAAGTAATTTTTTTTTTAACAGAAATAAAATGTTATTTAAATTTTGTAATAAATTTATAATTTGTGTTTTTTTTTTACAATTTATTCTACATAGAAAACATTTTACCTTTAAGACCCAACTTCTTTTAGTAATTAAATACAATAAAAATATCGAATATCGTAAAAAATATGTTTAAAGCTCCTGAAAATTTTTTCAAAACCAGAGAGATCATCGTTAACACAACAAACAATGTATGTCTGCTAGAAATTGAGTAATTTTCAAAATTACAAATACAAATTAGATTTAATCTACAATCTACAATCATATGTATGTATGTATGTACTCCTAGATAATAATATATTTGTGTAGTAATTAAATTTAAGCATTCAAAATCAAATGTTAAAAATATTAATTTTACTAGAATTTATAAGAGTTCAATTTCAATTAAAACGAAAAGGAAAACGAAAAAAGAAGCAAAGTGTAAATATCTAAATAGCAATAACTGTATCTCCGTGTATGTGAAATAAACGTACATTTTATACTTCATTTATACATATTATATTATATATTATAATATATTTAAATTATATATTATTGAGATGTCGTATGTTTGTATGCTTGCAATTGTGTGAACGAATGTACAAAATTAAAAAAAAAAAAAAACAAAAAAAATTTTCTTTAAAGAAAACTATCTCGAAAATAGTAAACATATTGTGATATTAAAATTATAAAATTGTGTACTTATTTTTTAACCTTCTACTTCTTTTTCTTTACTAGCGTAAACACCGCTTAAGCGATTATAGGCTAGTTGACACCAGCGCGTATTTCATTCATTCCTAGTAACCCTGGGTTGTTAGTTATTTGCATTTTTACGACATCGATCTCGAGCCGATGTTCCTTTGATCAGCTGGTGTAAAGGGTGACCTTGGATACCATAGGTGATAGCTGTTGTTGTCATGCAATGAAGAAGTCGATAAGGTCGAAAGGTCTGTTTAGGCGCTAATATCGAGCGATCAATCGGCGTATAAGATCAATGAAAAGACCTCTCGTGGAGGAGAGAGTTTCGATATGTAGAAATTTAACATAAGCGAGAAGAGAACTAGCTGGAGGTTTGTAGCGTTAAGTACGGCCGTGGAACTGTACTCGTTTTGGTCGATATGACTTTCACATGCTCACTAGTTTTCCCGGTTTAGATGTATTGGTATCAGCCGTTGGATTTAGAGGCGTTCGCCATCCTCACATGGCCTAATCAGCGGAGTCTCTGTCTCTTGATTCGCTAAACCCCGACTTCCACATATGTTGTTACCAATGCGCAAAGGAACATAAATCTTGCCCAAAACCTTTCTCTTGAAAATTAACGCTGACTCATTAGATGTTGTCATCGTCTATGCCTCCGAACTAAATAGCAGGACGGAAATGATGAGTGACTTGTAAAGTTTGTTCTTTGTTCGTCGAGAAAGGTGCTCTCTTTTCATTTGCCTACTCAGTTCAAGAGCTATTCAAACCTCGATATAGTCGGGTAGTAGAACGTCTTCTCTATCGACATCGATTGGGGTTTCGAGTTCACCATCTCTGGGCATTTCATTTTCACTGCCTACTCAGTTAAGCAGCCTGGGAAAGTTTTCCCTCCTTAAATTGGGTATACCTTAGGTATCCATCAATAAATCAACCTTCCGGTTCTTACAAGAGTTTGTTCTGGTCTTGAAACCTTCCGTAGGTCGCCGTATTTCCGTAAGTCGTGAAATTTTCGTGTATTACCTTTGTCGGCTAGCTTCTCAAGCTTGTTTTACTGCAAATACGTCTTGGTTCTCTCTTCAGCTCACGGTATCTACCCCATCACGTGCGTTTTGGTGTCGCCCGCCATGTTGCAAGTGGGCAGTTTGTTTTCTCCCCACTGTTGTTCCACATTCTTCTTCGTACCAGTTGTTTCTGCGACCTTTCCGAAATCGAATTGTGTCCGTAACTGCGGTATGTAGGGAGTTTGAAATGCTGTTTCACGGTTTCTTTACGTGAAGCTGCTGATGAGTGCTCTCGGAAAACAGGTGTGCAAGCCGAGTAGAAAATCGTTCGGCAGTCTGTTGCAATGCCAGCTTTTCGACGTTTCTTGTGCGCGACAAGATTGTGATCCGAGTCGATAGTAGGACCTAGGATAGTACACACATCTAAAATACTGGAAACATGTCTTCCGTCTATCACAATTTTCTTGTGCCGGGATCTAGTGCAACCATATTTCAAGCCCCGGTGTAGTCGATCAACCTCAATTCATTAGGGGAAGTTTCGTGGTGGAGGTTGAATTTTCCGACAGTTGTTGGAAAGGCACATGGCGCATGATAGATTTTACATAAACGATATTGAGAAGGTTAATCACACGGTAGTTGGCGCAGACTTGGGGATTGTCCTTTTGGTGGATTTGGCAAAGTACGCTAAGACTCCAATCGTCGGGCATGCTTCCAACTGACCATATTCTTCAAAGAAGCTATTGCATGCACCCGTATTTATCGGCTCCGTCTTCCAGGCGAGCGGTTACTATTCGAACTTCTTCATAGTCGGGAAATAAAACATTTCTTCCATCGTTAATCGTTTGAATCGACTTCGTCTCCTCCTGATGGCTTATTTCCACTGCCATTCAGCTAGCTGAAGAAGTGCAATCTCCAAAAATTTTGTATACCACACTGTGCCCGACAAGAGTTTGCCCCGGTCTTGAAACCTTCTGTAAGTCGCCGCAACTTTTCAAACTCTGTCTCTGTCGTCCAACTTCTTAAGCTCTTTTTAACCTTCCACTATCAACATTTTTCAACATTCGCATTCACCCTTCATATATGTATGTATGTATGTTTGTGCATTTGTTTCGCTCTATTTATTGTCTATGGCAACAAAAACGCCTACGTCACTCTGGAGGCACAAAGAGGCAGTTTAGAATCAATTTTCATATCCTCAAAAAACGCCCAGGCAGGTTAAAAAAGAGCAAAATTATTACCCTTCAAATAGTCTACTTATCTACATAAATATGTATGTTACAAGTGTGTATATGCTCCACCTCGCTTAGCTAACAAGCCTGACGTATTTTAAGTACTGCAGTCCTTTTCATCCGCTGCCGCAAGTGGGTCTTGATTACGCGCTAATTTGTTACATTGCGCACATCGGAAGTCGGAACATGCTACTCATTCATCTTCTTTGTTTGTTTTCCTTTTTTTCTACTTTCTTTCTGGACATTTTCCGTTTTGATTTTAAGGCTGCAAGGATGCACGATCTATTTTGATCTCTGCCACAATGTTCACGCCCACGCACTTTGTTGGAGTGGCATTTAGGATCTGTAATATGTAGATCCATAAGCATTTCAGCTTCGTCCTTTGGTTGCTCCAGCGCATATCCGTGTGAAGCAACACGTGTTGGATATACACGTATAGTATGTAATGTTGATATAATGTATTACCCTTATATGCATTTAGTGCACTTGAATACCGTTACCTACGGCGTTTTCTACATTATGTTTTACTATGACTATGACTAAACACCGATAAGCCCAAGATAATTTAACATTAGCCATTTGATGATCTCACCAAAGTCATCGCTAAGATAAGTCGCAAATCCTTTCTTAAAATCTGCACAGAGTTGCGAATACCAAGGGCTTGCGAAATTAACTGCTGATCTAGTGACTGATGGTGAAAGGAAACCGATTTTTGCTCTACTTTTTAAAGATCCAATTAATGATCTGGTGAAGAAATTAGCAATGTACTCACTTCTAGGTTCTCACATCAGTGAAGTCACCATCAACGACAAAGAATATTTTTAGCCTACCAATCTAACACAAAATCACTCCAGTGGCAGTGGGAAAGTCATCACACTTACTTAACGAATAATTAGTTTCCACAGCCGCACTTAATGTCCTTCGTGTTTACTGACGTAGACACCGCTAGGCTTTTATAAGCGAGTTATTAGCAGCGCACAAGTCGTTTCTTTCTTTTGCCAGAGACACCAAATGAGTGGAGGTTTTCCTCTTCTCAGTGCTTTCAATGGAGTGGAGGTTCTCCTCTTCTCTCTGCTTCCAGTGGAGTGGATGTTTTCCACTTCTCTCTGCTCTCGCTGACAGCGATTTCAGTGTATACTTTCAAAGGTGGGCTGCCATCATTCATCCGGACAACATAAATAGCCACCATACCCGCTTTCTCTTGATTCGCTGAACTGTGTCAGCGCCGCCGTACATCTCGTATAGCTTATTGTTTCAGCGCATTCGGTATACGGTGTATTCCTACGTTTACAAAATTGAAGCAAACTGTCGCGCCTCCATTCTTATGCATTGGGTAGATAATACTTAGGTTCCAATCGTCGACCATATTTTGCAAAAAAAAAAAATGGTGGTTACACATTATCAGTTCTTCCCCGCTATGTTAGAATAACTCTGTCGGCAAGCCATCGGCTGCTTTCAGTTTGTTGTTCTTTAGCGAACCTAGTCATAGTCGTGTGATAGATCGTCTTTTCCACCATCATTGTAGTCACTCAGCAGTCTAGAAAAGTACTCCCCCACACCGTTTGACTGTCTGTTGTGATTGCGGCCGTCCATCTAATACAACATAATTGATCTAGTTACGAGTTTTTCCATCCGGGCATCCAAGCAGTTTGATGGTTTTTCTTCTGCTGGTATCTAATAATACGAACAAACATATTCCGGGCTCCGACAAAATCGATCAGCTTCATTGCGTTTGAGGATATTTCATCAATGAGGCTGGATTTTCAACTATTATGCCGAAGTTACGCTCTTTGCCCACACTGCCGTTAAAAGTGGCAATCATATTTCCGTTAAGTATCCTCTTGGAACTCATAAAAGGCAGCATTGGTCATATCGTCCTTCTCTACCGACGGGGAGGTGGCGCAATATGTTGTTCTTCAATGCTTCAAAGCGAATGCAAGACGTTCCTGGTAAACTCCAGGACTCGACGACTGAGTGTCTCTTCCATCCCGAAGCTCACATTAAGCTTGCGTTTTATATGACCGCTGAAGTATATGCCACAAGGACTTACTCATTTTCGTCCTTGCCCCAATCATCGCAATTCTTGGACGGCGATGATGTTAGCCTTCAGCCTACTGGACTGCGGTAACTTCCCAATTTCGATACCCGACATTCCAAATGCATACTCTCGATACGTCGTAATCAATAGTGGGGTTTCTCATCTAAGGCATTGTTTTCTTTTTCATTGAAGCTGATTTCTACGTGTTGGGATTCAACTTCTGCGTACGGCCTCGGCAATCGAGTAGCGATATTAATGGAATCATATTTATACAGCAAGCCGTTTGTCCAAAGACCGAGGCCGACTGTCAGCCACTCAACAGTGTGAAACACTACGTATAATGAGTTCAAATCGGGCCCAAACCAACATCCAAATTAAAGAAATACACATTTTGATCACTCCGTTTGTTGGAAAATCATTACGATGCATACCGCAAATGAGGAGGATCTGAAGGAAAATTGATCACACTCTTGAGCCAACATTTGACTTGGAATTCTATTGGCTTCCAAGCAATGAAAACTTCTCCTTTTTCAACTTTTAATAAGGACGATACCTCAGAGCTCCAAACCCCTTCCCACTCCAAAACAGGTTGAAATATTTATTGAATAGAACCCTTAATTATTGTTAAAAGTCGAATCGTTTTTTGTTTTTGGTTTTTCAATAAATTATTTTTATTTACAATAAATTTATTTACACATAGAGTTCAAAAATAAATAACAAACTAATAACCCTCAAGAAATACGGTGTTTAATAATTAAACTTAATAATCACGCGTCAGCAGTTTAACCAAATCTCCAATATAAGCTTGAGCCATTTGCAGTGTTTCATATTTCGAAAGTCGCCGATCGTTGCCCAATGAAGGCACAACATCCCGCAGCTTATCGAAGGCATCATTCAAGCTATTCATGCGTCGGCGTTCGCGTGCATTGGCCGCAAGGCGACGCTTCCGCAGAATGTCCTGTGGCGCACAACCGGAAGTATGCGCCGATACACGGGCGAGTTTATTATTTAAGTGCGGTGCATTGGTTGGCGCGAGCTTTACGGAGCCATGTCTGTATGCGGATCTACAATTCATTTTTCGAGCTTTCGACTTTTCCGCTTTAATAGCTGCACAGGCATCATGGTTGTTGTAGTTGTAAAACTGATGTGAAGACCAACACTTTGAATTTACGCTGCTGCTGGCTACCGGGTATCGCGTATCATCCACGGCATAGTTAAAGTCGAAGTTATCCACCAAGTCACCCTCACTTTGGTACGCGATCAATTCCGTTTGGCTTTCTAACGAAGATGAAGACGTCGATGGGCTGCTATTGCTGGCGCTGGTGAAATCCATATTGTACAAAGCGGCAAGCTCCTCGAAATTCGCACTAAGCATTTTTGTGTAATTCTCACTTTCTTCGGCTGGGGCGGCCTGCGTGCGCCTCGTTGTTGTATAAAATGAATAATCGCTCTCACTATATTCGCTGGTGAGCATTTTTAATTCTTTTTTATTTTTATTTTTATTTTATTTTTTTTTTTTTAGTTCTGCTTAAATTACTTGCACTTCTGCCTCAGCTCAGCTGAATACTGTGTGGCTCACAGGAGCTGCATATGCCTTTTATACGAACACCTTTCGGCCACCTTTCGTGCGTGTCTCATGTGTGAGGATGCGTCAAAGAGCAATGCTTTGATTGGCTGATATCCCAAATCTCCTCGCATACCTCGCTCTACCTGTTCGCACAACGTTGCCGCAAATGCGTATTCTGATTCGTTGCTCAACACTTTTCTTAATATTTTGTCCGTTCTCAGCGATTGTGCTGTCCTGATCGTTTGTTTTTTTTTTACTCTACTGGTTTTGTTGTTGTTATTTTAGAAATTGTGGCTGTGCGGTAAACCGGCCCAAATGGGCTTGCGGTCAAAACGTTTAATTGTTTTGTTGTAGTAACCGTAGAAAATTTCATATTCATTTGTATTACATTTCCATGGCCACTGTTTTTCATTATTGTTGTAATTGTAATGGCACTTCCTGAAATCCATTGTTGCACTCTTACTGCTTTGGCGTAATAGTCGAGGCCTGCAAGTGCTGCTACCGTTAAGCAATTGTGTCGATCGTTTCGATTTCTTTGGCAGCAATTTGTGGTGGCTTGCGAAAATATCTCCCTACACACACACACACACACACACATACTTCCAAAGATTTATGTACACATATGCGTACATGTACATACATATATGCTTCATATGCATGTACCATACTCGGAGTAGGTCCTCATGGGTACTTTCAATTTCTTTTGAATTTTTGTGGCTTTTGTGTTTGCAAATTATAGTGTCAAAATCGTATTGTGTGTATTATTTAAAATGTCATGCATTTGGTTTATTCGATATTTGCTCATCTCTTTTATGTATTCAAGTGTTTGTACACACGTGAGATCGATGGACAAGGTCAGCAGATCAAAAGAACTTGCAGTTGAGAAAATTATTAGGCTAAGCTGCGCAAGGTCTGATGTGTAATGCCATTAATTAGCTTGGGAAAGCTGACCCTGGCCATCGGTCGGAAGACCAAGGTTCGATTCTTAGTTCGACCAATAACCAAAATTACTGTTTCTCATTGCGGTCAACCCCGACAGGGAATGTCAAGCCTTTCGAAAGTATTTCTGATATGAAATAAAAATCCATCAGCCGCTCAGAGGTGAGTTAGTATAAACTTCAGGTCGATCCAACTGTGGCTCTAACATCAAAAAGAACTCCACAATTTGGAGGAGGAGTTCGACCGAAACTCGCTTCAGCTGTTACAAAGGGCCGGAAGTTCTCTTTTCTCCAGACTGAATGAGGCAGCAAAGCGTATTGGGTGAACGAGGGCAAGACGAAATATCTCTTGTCATCACACAAACCGTCATCGAATTCGCGACCTGGCTCCCACGTCACCGTTGACAGACACAACTTTGAAGCCTATCCAGGAACCAGCATCAACACCAACCACAATGTCAGCCTTGTAATCCACTCTTGCCAACAGGTGCTAATTTGGACTGAGTAGGTGATTGAAAAGTTAAGTCCTTTCTCGACGAACCAAAACCAAACTCTACAAGCCCCTCATAGTTCACGTCCTGCTACATGTGGCGGAAGCATATACGATGACAACATCGGATGAGTTGGCGTTAGGAGTTTTCGAGAGAAAGGTTTTGCGTAAGATTTATGGTTCTTTGCGATTTGGCGACGGCGAATATCGCAGACGATGGAACGATGAGCTATACGAGTTATACGGCGACATTGATTTAGTTCAGCGAATCAAGAAGCAGCGGCTACGGATGGATGGATACGAATACTCCAGCTTTAAAAAGTTTTCGATACAGTACCCGCCAGTGGAAGCAGTGGAAGAGGAAGAGCTCCACTCCGTTGAAAAAACCAAGTAGAGAAGAACCTGGCTGTACTTGGTATTTCCAATTGGCGCCAAACAGCAAAAAGAAGACACGAATGGCGCAATGTTATTAACTCGGCTACAATCGCGTAAGCGGTGTCTACGCCAGTAAAGTAAGTAAGTAAGCAAGTAATCAGTATTAATAATTTGTAGAACTTGATATGACTTAATGTGAATTGATACTAGATCTCGGATCAAAATTACTGCGCACTTGGGAGCTATATAATTGGTCTAGTGAAAAGTAATCCACTATTTTTGCTTCAGCTTGAAGGTTTTATTTCTTATACCTCTACCTCTTTCATGGAACCCCTTGCTTCCATTGACTAAAAATCACAAGCTTCTCTTGAGGCCAGATGGTAATCACTTGGTGCGAGGTCCGAACTATAAGGGGTGTCCGCCCAAGCAAACTTTCTGAGCTTCTGGCGTCCGTTCAGACAGCTTAGAATAAACTGTAGGTCCCACCATTTGTTGGATAACATCAAGAGGCATTCCACAAATTAGAGGAGGAGCTCCGCTGAGAATGGCTTCAGTGATTATAAAGTGCCAATTATATATATATATATGTACATACGTGTATGTATATATCGTATATGCTTTCAAATAAAGAGTGATTTTTCAAGAGCTATAAGAAAGTTTTTCAAAACAAAAAACACATAAAATTCAGGGAAAATGCATGAAATATTTATTTGTATCGATAGTACGGTCTATATAATTTTAAGTTTGAATATTATCCTAATGTTGAACGTGACTGCGCCTCATATGGTTCATTCACTTAGTCCAACATTGGCATACTCTTTTCAACATTTCAGTCGGTATCTCACGAATAAATGAATCAATGTTTTAATCCAATGCGTCAATTGAAGCGGGCTTAGATTCAACATAGCCCCACAAAAAATAGTCTAAAAACCATTGTGACTCTCATCTTATAGTACACAGGTAATGCAATCCCTGGCAAACTGGCCATTGAACGTATATACGAACTCTACTTTACGCCTGTTGAGCCGGGTATCATGCATTGTTTGGCCAAAAATACGAAGGGCAATGTAGAGGGCAGAGGTCATATTCTGATAGGCGACATAAATGATAATACCACGATATTTGGTACGGATGAGAATAAGAAAATTGTTACGCAGGCTGTGTAGCATGTGGCACCGTCTTGTTGAAACCACATGTAATGCAAGTCAAGCTCTTGCTTTTTGGGCAAAAATAAGTTCGTTATCATCTCACGGTAGCGCTCACCATTGACAGCTACGCCACGATTCGCATCATCTTTGAAGATGTACAGTCCAATGACGCCACTAGCCCATAAACCGCACCAAACTGTGACTAAACTGTGACTAAACTCTACAAGTCACTCGTCATTCTCCTCCTGCGACGATGACACTGACAACATTTAGCATTGGAGCTTTCGACAAAAAGGCTTTGTGTAAGATTTATGGTCCTGTGCGCATTACTAACGGCTAGTTCGGCCGTCGATGGAATGATTAGCTGTACGAGAAATGTGACGACATTGACATAGTTCCACCAATCAAGAGAAGGCAGCTATGCTGTCCCAAATGGCTGAGAACACTTTTGTATTGTAGGTTTACAACGCAGTACCCACTGGTGGGAGCAGTGTCGAGGACGAGACCTCTCCACTCTGTTGGAAATACCAGGTGAAGAAGGATTCCAAACGGCGTTAAATGGTGAAAAGAAGCAAGGAATGGCGGTGCTTATGCTGTCGAAGAAGAAGAATGTATATTTTTACTCGATTGTATGCCCGAGTATGCGTACAAGGAACTCCCTCGCGGATTACATCAAACCAATCTTACACTCGCTTTTCACAATAAATTGTAATAAGTAGACCAGAACTAAAATTAACAAATGATGCCATGTTTCACACGATTTTATTTGACAATAGAATATATTACATACATACATATGTACATACATATGTACATATATGCATCAAAACTAGAAGAAAATAACATAGAACTCGGCTTTGATCCTTGATCGATTGCAGATATCAAAAATGCCACGCGACCGCAGGTCCCTTACAAAGGTTTACAATGCCGATCGGCTCAATGCTTGTACATATGTATGTTTGTATGTACACGTAAGTATCCAAGTTTGGTTATTGTGCAACACTTGTGCGAAAAATTCCCTTGAAATTTGGCTAAAACAGTGTGATTGAGGTTAGAAATATGTACAAAATATCTCTGCGAACACATATGCACCGATGTATGTGTGTAAGTATGTACGTATCAATGTGAGCGACTGTCAGTTGAGTGGCTTATACTTCAAAGACTTGCCTACGGCTAATTATAGGGTTTACTCAAGATCGCCGACACACCTACGCCTCTTTGTTTTCCACACTTACCTTTGTATGTACACGTATGTATGTATGTATGTGAGTGTGTGTGTGTAAGTGTGTTGAGTGACTCCAAATTGCCTTTGTTGCTGTTGGGAAAGAAAGTTGTTTTTGCGCATGCGTGTTACACAGCTGATTATGTGAAAAATCTTTCATGTCACAATAGCAACAATAGCGGCCAGACAACGAGGCTGGTTAGGTCTTTGGCCAGTGGTTGGTTTGATGCTGGCATGACCAAATGCAACCCGTCCTCCACGAGGGCGGGAGTTGAAGGTAGAGATAAATGAATTTCAGTTCAATTTAAATACAAAAGTCAATTGCACAACAAATGGAAAGCCTCGATTGTTCTGCTTTCTGTCTTTTTTGAGGTTAATCCTCTAGTGAGACGCTTAAGTGCCTTTTGTTTAAAACAATGCCTAATAATATAGTTTTTCAAATTCTTTGTTTTGGACATTCCTTAGCACTTGTTTTGAGGTTTAAAAATTTTCACGAGAATTTCTTATTTTCATTTTGGGCTTTGCATTGTTTACTCTCAGCAGCAGATTGATAATTCGAAAATCCTTGCGAAATACTTTAAGTAAATTTACTATGTAATTCTGTGAAATTATGTGTAATTACTATGCCTACAGGGGATTTTGGTTGAATTTTCCAAAATTTGCAGAAACAGGTGTAACATTATTTGCTCGTCCGATG